AGCTGTAAGATCAACATTATCGGGATCATCATCATGATAACCATTAACTTTAATCATCAACATTATTATAATGATAATAACTTGAGCCATCGTTTCATCATCATCATTACGCATATAATCATATTAGCATGGAATCACCATTACGATCGATTATCATCGCCTTAACAATCAATATCATCTTCATCATCCTATGAAACAATAACATTAGCATCACAACACAAACAAATATAAAACAACAAACAAACAGACAAAAACATAGAAGAGCAAAAAGTGGATAAACACAAGAACTTAAAATAGCAACCAAATGATAGGTTGAAAACAACTCTTGTGCAAAATGAAATATAAAAATGTTTCTGGAACATATGCTGTGGAATGTTACCGTATAAAAAATGTGCAAAAAAATCATCCAACGTACAAAGGTACACATAAATCCCTACACATAAACAAACACACATACGCTGCAAAAAAACAAATACATATACAAATTTAAACAAATTCATATATACATGTAAATACATGCAAACATAAAAACAAACACACATACATGGGTTAGACAAGCATCATTCAAAACATTACGTATATATAAATATAAGGGACACATTTCTGAATTAACATCTTATTCAATTATTAACTACATGCTAAGTTTTCATTTAAATTTTTATGACGTTATTAACGTTATTCATAACTACGTTTCACATACATACATACACGCACACAAACACACACATAATGGAAGCAATAAATAACAATATTATAGTATTTATTATAGTTGAATGTAGGTGAGAAAAATATGCCAAAACTAGGTTCATAAACATTACAGGTACATCATACATCACACAATTTTAACACAGGCAAACTGTATGCATGTGAAATTATTTATTATTATTATTATTATTATTATTATTATTATTGTCATTATTATTATTATTATTATTATTATTATTATTATTATTATTATTACAGGTAAAACAAAATGTGAAAATATTTATTTATACAAAAAAAATGTTGGTGACTAACGCAATAATCCATTACTTTAGCCTCAGTTATTTAATTTGAAATACAAGAGAAAAAAAAATCCCATTATTCTACTCCATTCATACAAAGTTAATCCTATTCATGATTGTAATCATCATTGTTCTAAGACATCATTACACATATCAAATTTTTTTTTCTTTACTTTCAAGCCGCATTTTTCATGAAAACATGGATAACATCTTAGCCTGCAAGTAAAACCAACATTCGTCTTTATCTTATAATAACATAGCCACATACTACACACAAAGCAGACACTCCCAAACACAACACACGTGCACATCACAGGCACGCCGCACACACATACACATACACGCACACATACTTCTTACCTATACTATGTAACTGCAAATGTATAGGAAAAACACATAAAAAAAACACATAACAGGCTGCAACAATGCGATTTAAAAAAATATTCACATGGGCTAAATGAATTACTGAAACACATGAAAACGTAGACACAATAATGATGAATAGGTAGCAGCAACTATGAACGTGCATTCAAACTAATGCATTCAAACAAAATAGAACAAGGGAGAGTAAAAACAACATGAGGAATTTATAGAAATACATAAACAGAATGCGTGATGAAGAGAGAATAAAGAGAGAGAGAGAGAGAGAGAGAGAGAGAGAGAGAGAGAGAGAGAGAAAGAGAGGCATGCATAGAGACAGAGAGCAACAGTGATATGAATATCAATGAATTCCCATTACATAAATAATCAAATGGAAAATACACTACACTACAATGTTTTTCTACTAGCCCATGCATACATCACACAAACTTAAACACACACGTACACACACGCGCGCGCATACAAACACACACGCATACAAACACACACAAACATATACTATTCCAAAGAGATATCTAGGGCTTCCTTTACGATCCTAAAAAGCTGTTAAAAAATGAAAACGCTAAGAGGAACATAACAGTTGAAACTGACAAGTTACACGTGGGAGCAGAAATATTAATGTTATTATTGTTGTTGTTGTTGTCGCTGCTGTTGTTGTCGCTGTTGTATTAATAGTAGTAGTATGGGTTTTAATGCTATCATTATTACTTTTATTAATGATATTGTTAATATTTTTAAAAATGTTGTTAATATTTTTAATCCTAGATGAGAAGAGCAATGATACAAAAGATGTGCGGGTGAATGCGCATGGTCATTCTTTTCACTGCACATAACAGAGAATTAAATCATAACGTGGCAGGTGTTTTCTAGTCAAGACAGATTGATCAAGATGGTACTAATGAGGAAAAGAGATTGGGAGAAAAAAAATTGGTAGATCTGCAAAGAAATGGATAGACGACATTACTGAATGGACTGGTGTTGGTATTCTGAATTCATAAAAACTGACCAAAGATAGAAAAGGTTTTAGGAAAGAAAAAAGGAAAAAATAAAAATAAAAAGCATGCTTAGATGTACACCATTGGCCTCGACTGTTTCTCGATGGACAAAGGAGGATCATTGATTGATTGATTGTAGCACAACCACCTTGAATGAAGAATTAATTGTATGAAATTAATAAGAAAAATGACTTTTACATAAGATACCCTTGGATATAATATAAAACTATCCACAATAAATGAAATGAACAGAAAACCTGTACCATCATATTAAAACATCAAACAATATTAACTTGAAAAAACAATTTTTTTCCACTCAACTTCGAAACAACGAGCCATTTATGAGAATAAATATACCTTCATGTATGAAGATTTATTTGATTACTATAGAAAGCTAAAAAAAAAAACAAAAATTTACAAAGCACATACACGGCACATACACACACGCGCGCACATACACACATATGCACACGCACATACACACAAAATTTGTACGAAAGAATGTCTGTTTATTTGGTGCATGTAATAATAGGCTAAAATATCCTTTACTGAACTACCAACTAACTGAATATTTGTTTATTTATGAACTGTTTACATTTTTACAATCTGGATAAAGTACCATATTTGGCATGATTTATTTGCTATTAAATTCACATTGATAATCTTGTTTCAGACCATCTGAAAACTTCCTGTACGTTATGTTATAATAAAACAAGCAACAATAAACAAACAACATGGCTTATTTCATTAATAATATGAAATCAACTCAGTGCAAAACTATTTAGATATGAAATCAATTGCAGTCTAAACAATTTCAAATGGCATCATATCAAAATTACAAAGATTCAGTCAGGAAATAAGGTCACTCATGTTTGCCCTTTATATTGTTAGCACAAATAAAGAACATGTAGGAATCTGACTTGCAGTGGACACATAATAAAAATTTATTGAGTACAAACTGCTGCAGATCTGAATGCTCACACACACACATATATTAGCCCTCAACTATCAAACTTTGGAAGTGATAGTGGGTGTTGTAGAGTGAAATTATTTTGTTAGAGTAAGAGAGGGTACAAGTTCATTTGTTTCTGATGACAATTCATCAACCAACCGAAGTCATTTTGGTTGCAACACAGTAGGTACCAAGCAACACTAATAACACAAGTAACTACAGCAATTATAAAGTTAAATGAGTTACATTATCGTAATTACTTCGTTGTCACATACAATATAAGCATCATCTTCCTCATCATATCATCCACGTATATGGTCTGTCTGGTAACTACTCTGGTTGCCAGCATTTTCAAATAAATTGAGTGTACAAATTAAGTGTACAGCAGGATTACCATAAAATGAAATTACAACAAATCAGGCTGACCCATTCGTTCTCATTTGGTGGTCACTCTTTCTCACTCTCATTTTCTTTTCTTCGTTCTCTCTCTCTCTCTCTCTCTCTCTCTCTCTCTCTTTCTGTCTCTCCATTTTTCCCTTTTTCAATTTTTTTCTTTCTCTCTCTCCCTCTGCCTCTCTCTCTCTCTCTCCCTCTGCCTCTCTCTCTCTCTCCCTCTGTCTCTCTCTCTTGGGGTTTCTCTCTCAAGTTAGTTAATTAGACCACAAAAAATTATTTAATTCAAATCCTAACATGAAACGTAATTACATTTGGCCTAATAAAAAAGACAGCATAAGTTCAAGTTTACATTAACCATTTTTTAGCAATACAGCTAATAAGAAGAAAAAGAATAACAAAACCCCAATAATAATAATAATAAGAAGAAGAAGAAGAAGAAGAAGTAGAAAAAGAAGAAAAAGAAGAAGAAGAATAAAGCCGACTTGAATAAAAACAAAAATTTCTGTGTAAAAACAAAATTGCGAAAATTGAAAATTGAAGAGCACTCAATAATTTTTGAATGGATTTTTGACTGAATGTAGATGCAGTCTCCAATGGCAACCATACAAATTGTCACATACATTTCATTCAATGAAAATTGATTTGGCTTCTTTATAAAATTTATAAACAATAATTTTATAACATTATTATTATTGTTATTAATAATATTTCATATATTATTAAACCATAATTTATAACGCTTCCTATCTATCGATGTATAATCCATACCTGCCACCAGAGAATTTATTTTGTTCAATAATGCTATAAATAACATTGATTATCATCAATAATTTTAAAAATTAATAATAGAAATATACATTAATATGTTATAAAAATGTTGAATAAATAAAATTATTTGAAAAGTCACATCAGAAATATATATTAACATGTTATATGGATGATATATAAGTAGCAGGCTTGCAATTCAAACTGAGAACTTCACAAATACACAAAGATAGGCAACACAATTATAAAAATTATTTCCTACATACAGATGTGAGCAAATAAATAAATAAACATAACGAAGTCAAACCATAAGTTTACATAATTAAACCAACATAATAAACAATAAACAAGTACAAATACATAAGAAACACAATTACTAAGTTAGTACTGTGCAACCTCCTACAGCATAAGTATTCCAAGTTTAAATTAAAAGTACAATAAAGGAACATTAATTGTAGAATCAGAATCAAAGGTTTATTTTCAACTGCATTTACAAGTGCACGTAGTTTAAGAGTAGAAACTCAACTGTATTTCAGGAGCTGAAATGAATTAAATTTGGATTGGTGTTTCACTGAAGATTTTAACATAAACTTTCCTGCTGATTTTCTTGGTTGTCAATTAAAATAATGCCATCATGTCATATGTAACAAACATCAACATGAGCCGAATGCTATGTGCACTGAGACACAGATAATAAATATAAATTCATCTTAAAAGAAATAAAGTTGAGTAGTTTAAAAGAAAACAACATTGAAGTTATTTATACATTTAACACATTTTTTTGTAGCATATATATTTGACGATCAATTCAACACGATGTTTTTGTTTTTATTTTTGTTTGTTCTACTTGTTATTTATTCAATTATTATTTATTTCAAGTTTAGCTTGTTGAATGCACAAACTAAAACAGCTTGCTAATAGGCAAGAAATCTTTTAAGAACCAACCCAATCTATCAAGCCTCTTATTAAATATTATATTATGTATCCATGTATATAACAATATTGTATAACAGCAAACAACAACGAAAGATCTATAAAACATATAAAACTTATATAACAACGTACAAATGTGTATACAAATCTATTCAATGATTTTGTGTAAAACATAAAAATAAGTTAAGAGTTAAATTAAGAAAAATGAAAAAATTGGAGTCAATTCTATTAGAATTGCAATAGACACATAAACACATATACAACGTTAAATAAAAAATAAAACTTTAAATTTTTTTAACAGATAATAATGACTACGATGATGATGATAATATATGTGAAGATGACACACAAGATGACTTGAACTAATAGCACAGTGATGAAAGAGTAATAATAGATAAAAGAATAGTTTTAAGGGTAGAGGTCAAAAATAAAGTAAATGATGATGATGATGATGGGATGATGATAAGACAACAATGATAATAAATGAGTGAAGTAAAGGGGCATTACATTTCTTTACAATTAATGCATGTTGAATAATGCTGTGATAACAATGTGATAATGAATTAACAAAAAGAAAAGAACTATACAAATATTCTAACCTTTAGAAAAAGTTGGGCTTGAAGAAAGCTGTTTATAAACAGAAAAAAGGGTTAATTAATTATTATTTATTGGTTATCAGGTTAAAAATAATAATAATAATAATAATAATTTAGTATATTAAATATTATACAAGTCTGGTAGTGGAAGTTCTTTATAAATTAAAATTAACCTCAAAAAATATGAAATAGTGAAACAAAAAAAACACAAAAACACACACACACACACGCACGCACACACACACACACACACGCACACACACACACACACACAAAGTTTTACAACGATTAGCTTGATGTTATTCTTGTAAATTTTAAAAGCAAAAAATATAATTACATTAAAGTGCAAATATGGGGAATAATTAACATTCATAATTAAACCATCCAATTATCCATTTTTTCCTTCCAATATACACTCATTCAATCCTTCCTAAATTCAATAATTCATTCACTCATTCATCCATTCACACATGCATGCATTCATTCATTCAACAATGCAACCAATCCATGAACGGCCAAGCCAAGACTGGCAGGCAGACCGACAGACAAGCAGATCCAACCTCATAGGAAAATACCCTTTGATTTATACCAACCCTGTTTAATGCAGTTTTCTGATGCTGCTAATGTCAGTGCAAATAACTACAGCCACAGAAAAGGCAAATATGAAAAAAGCGTGCACACATATGTATGAAAATGTATAAAAAGAAATTAATATTTGTATTAAATATAATACATCAGTGTGTATTTGTACAAGAGTATTTCATCATCTAGCCTCGCTAGAGGATGAATGAATGAATGAATGAAAAATGAATGACAGAATGAATGAATGATTGATGAATAAATGGAAGAATGAATGAACGACAGATTACAGAATGAGTGGTGTATGTGTGTGTGTGTGTGTTGTGTGTGTGTGTGTGTGTGTGTGTGTGTGTAGTGTGTGTTAGTGCCTATCTATCTGGTGGCCAGAACTTAAATTTTCCTCTATTCAATCCTATCCACCTGACCATGTGAACAAATAGGCAGATGAACATATAAATAAATTACTCCATGAGGAAAACAGATGAAAAAATGAAAAAGATAAATTAGAGAAACGTTATGAATACTAGATAGATAGATGGATGGATGGATGGATGGATGGATGGATAGATGGATGGATGGATGGATGGATAGATATATAGATAGGAACACATAAAAATAGCAAGATGAATTGATATAAGTGGAGTTATAAAATGATGAATAGGTGCATGCATTATTTGATGAGGATGGCCTGTATAATGGAGGAATAAGATGTGGAGGTTGATGCATTGATGAATTAATGTATGAATAGATGAAATATATGTAATAAGATAAATGGATCAATGAATAGACTGATAAACAGGTGAATGAATAAATGAATGAGTGTATGAATGAACGAAGGAACGAAGGAATGACAAATAAGACATATTAACAAACATAATATGAAATAAAAAGGTTCATTTACAAAATATAAACCAATGAGAGAGAAAAAGAGAGAGAAAAAAAGAAAGAGAGAGAGAGAAATAGAGCTAGATAGTAGATAGGTGGATAAGTGGAGAAACAAATGAAAGAATGCAACAAGCATTTTAGCAGCAGCAGATAGAATCATCACAAAAATACAGGTATCAATTCAACTGTAAATGAACCACACAAATCACTGAATCCATAGATTGCAATATCATTAATGAATGCAAGCTACCATCATCACCATTATTCGTCATCATCATCATTACATATGTCATAAATAACTATCAACATTATTCATCATTATTACAATTATCATCATAACCATTATTATTATTATTATTATTATCTATCATCATTACCACTATAAATCACAACATTATCATCCCCATACACAAAGACATTATCTTTCACATCACTAGTCAGTATATAACATAACTTTCCTAATTTTCCTAATTCTTCGAATTATCATCATAATTTATAACATCACCGGTATTATCACTCTTTTCGTTATCACCACCATCCTCAACATCACAATTTTTATCATCTACTCACTTGGTGAATACGACTTATCCGTTTGGACTCTGAATCAGCTCTATTCTTTCGATACATTTCAATGAAATTGTTTGGTCCAAACTGCGTGGGGTCATCTTCAAGGGCTTTCGTCACTCGAAACTTTTTCTTCTTCTTACCTCCAGGTGCATAAACGATTGTCGTACCTAAAATTGAATTCTGCGTGGTTGGTGAAATCATGGCAGCCACCTCAGGCGTCGTTTCCCTGGAAGATTTCTGCCTGAACGAATCAAAAAATCCTTTAACCTTGGTGGACGTCGGCATCAGACTGCCCAACTTGCTCGACGAAGGTGTCACAAATTTTCTGGCATCTGATCCGATGGAAATGTGTCGACTGCGATGCATGTCCGGTTTGTGATGGTGTTTGTCATTGCTGTTGTTGCTAGCATTGTTGTTCAGAGCTGCTTCTACCTCAGTTGGAGATGGAGACCTCTCCTCTTTGATAATATCCTTTTTTGATCTGAATTTAAACAAGGTCCCAAGTGGACTGCTGTGAGAAGGTTTGCGAGTTTTTTCTGTTTCAAAATTTCCACTGAATCTCACTGAAGAGCGATACTTTTTGTTGAACATATCCTTCAGCAGATTGGCTCCAGTACCTGACACCGTGGCATAATTGCCGTACACATCTTTGCTTTTGCTACTACCGCCAGGCATCTTATCTGTTGGAGAAGGTTTCGGTTTTACTGATTCCGAAGTAGCTTCCATTTCAAGTTCGTTGTAATCGTTTTCGTTGTTGCTGCTTGTTGACTTTCGACGTCGCCTGAAAAATCCAACTAATCCTCTTGCTGTGGGCGAAGGAACGGGTGTGATGCTGGATGGAGATTTTGAACCGGTGTTACTTTCTAATAATTTATTGTCAGGTGATTGCATCCCACTCGCAAACAACTTACTGTGAAATTTCATTGTTTTCAATTGTATATATTTAGCGTGCATAATAAATTAGGTAGAAAAAATTACAAATTCAAATTTTCAGCCACACAATTGGTGTGTTGTTCTCATTATTTCCGTGTGTGTATGGAATACTGAATTAAAACTCATTGATGCTAGTAATTATAAAAAAAAGTGCTTTTATAGAATATCAAAAAGTTATATATTCAACTCTAAACAAATACTACACATACTATTTGCATATATGTTTATACAAAGGTTATATATACACATATGTAACAAAATATATATATATATATAAATGTGAATGTGTGTGATGTGTGAAAAACTATCTGAGATGAGGCCACCCATTAGCATTAAGTAGTCTAAGTAGTCTATACAGTACTATTTATTTTACATATATACCTATATATATATATATATATATATATTTATATTTATATTTATATATATATATATATATATATATATATATATATGACATTTAGATAGATTAGATGCAGAGTTGATTTTAACTGTCTCATGAAACCCTCTGATCTTCATTTATGTTCACAAAAGTCACAGACTGATTTAAAGTAGAATATATATATATATATATAACTTAACATGAATAAATTAAATAACCTGTGCTGAAATTTAAGTTTAAACAAAGTTGAATTGAAATGAATTGAGAGAACACAGCAGACTTAATTAAAAATTCTCATCTCATCCAATCAACCTTACTCAAATTACTAATACTAGTAGTACACGTCATAGTAGTATAATTAATTATATTATTATATTATTAATTTATTATAATTATAATAATACAAGTCCTTTATATTTATTTATACCAATCCTCTTCAAATTGCATAGATGTTCTTCTTCACTTCTCTATAATAAATTTTATATATACTCTTGTTTTATACTTGTTAAACAAGATTACAAGAGTATACAAAATAAATTTAAATAACATAACATAGCACTTCAAAGTAACTTACTTTCGAATTAAGATATAATTTTTTCAAATATAAATTTGATATTTTATTACTACTTCATTAAGTAGTTATTATCAATTGCATATTTATTGAAATTTAAAATATTTTTTTTCTAATTTTTTATTTGTTATAGATTTTTTTTGTGAGGAATAAAAAATTTTTCAGATTGCGAAATGAAAGTGCATGAAAACCTTTCAGCCACTAACATTATGCAGACTGTTCAAAAAAAATTATTTTAATCTTGAAAAAAAATATCTAACCAGAGCTAATTATATCGTCTTATTTATAAATAAATTTGAAACCATTTAAAAAGCTCCACAAATTCGAGGAATACAAAGAAATGTAATAAACAAATATCCGAATAATACCGACAACCAGCAATTTCGGTTGTCGAGTCGAGTGGTGTCGGTATTGATTTAGTCTTGAATTAAATTCAATAAAAAGCGTTATAAAACAGTCAAACATTTATTTCAAACGCACCGTTTAATGTCACTTTTGAGTTTTCATTAGAGTACAACCAGAAAATTAAGATAGTGTAACAAAATAAAGAAAAAAATGTCAAATTTAAAGCGTAATGATATTCACAATATACTTAAAAGCTATATTAATTTTTTTTAAATTTAATAATAAGCATCTCACAACAACTATACTTTGTTATCACAGTTTTTATTTTAGTCAAAATTTGTTAGTTTGAGCTGGATGAACTTTTAAACAGAAATTGATTTAAAGTTTAAAAAACGTAAAGACCGGTGGACAGTTAATGTAGACTTGCACACCATATTCCTAACTAATTGTCAAATTAACTGAATTAAAATAAAAATTAATTTATTGTATTTTATATAAAAAAACGAAAATGTTTGAGAATGACTACTGGTCCGTGCTGTACGTTTTGCGATTGATCCTAGCTTCCCTGCCACTAAATGGCTACATTCATCCAGATGAATTTTTCCAATCAGCAGAGTTGGTTGCTGGTACGTTTTGTTTGTGATTGGTTGCTTGTTACTGTTGTTGTTTTTGTTGTTGTTACTCTCATTTATTTTATTGCAAGATTAATTTATTCAATAAAATATATGAAAAATGATAAAATAAGTTGTAGATTATTAATATATTAATAAAATAAAATGAGTAGTATCTACTAATGAACTAATCTAATCATTTTTTATTATATTGTGTTTTTTCTCAAATTAATCAATGTTTTTGTCCATATAAAAAATTACAATATTAATGGTTAAATCAAATGACTTTATTTTATTTTTTAAAGGTGAAGAATTCAACATACAGGCTCTCAAAACATGGGAATTCACATCCAAGTCACCGATTAGAAGCAGAACATCAATGCTGATTATGGCATATCTTCCATTGTCTCTACTGAAATTCATTCATCAATATATGCCATATTTTTCTCTAGTAAATCCTACAAACCTGTTGAGAGCTTATAGAATTTGGATAGCTGTTTTGAGCTGTTCTGTTGATTACAACGTTCGAAAAATTTTAAAAGAGCTGAATGTGTTTCCTCAGATGTACATTAATTTTTGTGTCAATGTCTTAGCCTCGTCATTTATCATGGTCATCTTTGCAACCAGAACATTCTCAAACTCTTTGGAATTGTTTCTCTTTGCATTTTTATTTAGAATTAGTGTTGTCAATACTTCAAACAAAACAATTTACAATGCTATTTGCACATCTTTAATTCTTACAGTTGGTGTTTTTAATAGACCAACTTTTCTTGTCTTTGCTTTCATTCCATTTATTGGGTTTTTGATAAGAAACTCCAACTTGAAATTTTTACAATTTTTGAAAACAATTATTTTCACAGCAATATTTAGTTTCTTATTTTTTGTCTGCCATGTTTTAATAGATTCCTTGTATTACAAAACTTTAATTTCTGCATCACCTAGAGGCATGTTCAACACACTGACTGACAAGGGTGTTTATTACTTCATCAAAAGCAACCTGACAGTTACAGTGTTAAATTTCATAAAGTACAACACTGACAGTGACAACCTGGCAACACATGGCATTCATTCACGATTTACTCATCTCGTTGTAAACTTCCCATTGCTATTCACGGGACTGACTTATTTTTCGGTGTACGATTCGTTCCTAAGAACCAAAAAGTCGACAACGGTATTTTGGTGGGAGAGTAGAAAATTTGAATTCCACATTGCCTTCTTTTCGTGGTTGGTCCCACTTTTCCTGTTGTCGTTATTCCCGCATCAAGAACCTCGTTTCTTGCTGCCACTGATAGTCCCACTTGTCATTTTATATGCTTCCCAATTTTACCATGTCAAGACCATGTTCTTTTTTATGTGGGTCCTTCCAAACCTGCTGCTCATTCTATTTTATGGATTTGTTCATCAGGCTGGTGTGGTGCAATCAATACTGTCCAGTCAACGAGATGTTGTTCATCCATCTCTCAATTCTGGAAAGACTGTGATCACCGTTTTCTGGCATTCGTACATGCCTCCAAGACATTTATTTTTCGGACCTATTGATGAGTGTCAGCAATTTAAATCTAATTCTGTGAAGGTATCCGTTCGTTGTCCAACAAATTTCACAAAGTTAAAAGTGTTTGACATGAAAAGTGCAACTGAAGACGATCTTTTGAAAAGACTTGGAAAATTTCTCAATATAAAGAAAAAATTTGAAATGGAAAATAGTTTAATTGAGAATGCTGATTACTTCACATACAACAGAACAGTTCTCCTCTACGTCCCTGGATCAGCTATGTATGGTTCCAACTGCACGCTGGGACATTACCGCTTTGAACTCATCAGTTCTCACTGGCCGCATTTCAGCGGTGAGAAACCGCCGACGATATTTGCGTTACAGGCGATCAACTGCATGGATGGTGATCAGAACAGTAGGGACTGCCCTTATCTGCCCAATATATTCTACGAACTATACGTTTCCAGCTCTTATAACGTTTACAATGTTTCTTTGATTTGATATACATTAAATTTAATTGGTTTTATTTTTTACGTGTTTGTTTTCAATTTGTTTAAGAAAATATAATTTAAAGTTACGCTGACATTATTATTCATGAAATATGTCTATTGATAATAACATTAGTTTATGAGTATAATTGCATATTCGTTTGTCTTCATGAACATTCCATCATTTGCGAATGTTTGAACGTTGTGATGTTCTTGTTGGTTGCTATGTCACTCACTGAACCATATTGATTGCCTTCCATTTGCCTGTCGGTTGCTGAGTGTGCCAGTTCACGTTTGCATTGCATTGATTTCTTAGTTTTTACTTTGCTTTTGTTTCGTTTTTTTCTCATTTTTGTTGCTGAAAACAAATTAATAGTTATTTATGTTTCGTGGTTGAAAGGTTTTTACGCTCAGTGACGCGATATTTTGTACAATGGATATACTGCATTCGACATTGATTCATCAAAAAATTGCGGATAAATTACTTTTTAATACGTTAGTTGCCAATAGATATTAAGTTTTAAAGACAGATATCAAACTATTTTAAATCATTTTTAGTAATTCTGGGAGAAGTGATAAGTTTGCTCTGCCTCGCATCGCCAGCAAGGTGTCCTTTAATCCAGGTGGGTGTCTGCCAATCCAGGTGTTACATTTACACTTTCGTTGAAAAAGTTCGAGTTGTAATCTTTTAATGATTGCACTGTTTGTAATTAAGGGTTCGATGATGGCAACAGTATTAAGAGGAACAGATCGACCGAAAGGTAAGTTTTCGCTCTTAATCGATAAGTTTATTGGGAAAATATTGGAAGATGAATCGATTTAATTATTATAAAGTTTGAAAAAATCGGAAGCGGGTAGTCTGTCGTTAGGAGGGTTGCCACCACTCCCACTCACGAGACCACACTCGTCCGCCTCCCTTGTGTTGCCTGAAATTTCTACAAAAACAAATTTGTCACCACACGTCTATGACGAAAGTTTCATGTCAATTAAACTGGTTCCTATCAGGATTCATGATGATGTGCCGAAGTATGGAAGAGAGTGGGGACCGACATCTTACACGTCACACGTTCAGATGTTGCACTATTTCGTGGTTGGTCATTCTAGTCTACGAAAAGTGTTCATTAATATTTGAAATGTGATTAATATATCGCTGGTAATACTGTTATCGCTTTGTGAAACAAAATTGTATTATTTTCTATACGTTTATACATGGTTAGTTCTTAAACAATCCACATCTTTATATATAAAATGTGTCATGTTCGTCCTCACCGACGTAAGATTATTTCTATTTACAACAAACTATTCGTCAAAGGATTTACGACGCAGTTTGTTGCCAATCCTTGCTTGGCAGACTGCTTATTTTCTCTGAATTATGCGTGTTGGTCATTGTTTAACAGGTGAGATCTATCTTGGATGAGTTCGTTAATGATTTACTGTATGTAGTCTGCAAGAAATCGAACAGGAGTGCAAATAGTGGCCAAAGGTAATCTGGTGTTAATAATCCTTTTCTTTCCAACAATTTTTTATTAAACAATAAACAATTTATTATGTTTCATTAGAGTGTATTTATTTTTAACAAATACTTCGAATTGTTTCACTTCCAGATCTTCAGTTGAAGACTCAAGAAACAATAATACAGCAACGAAAGGCGATTTGGACATCAATCAGAAAGTTGAAAGAATGTTTGATGACATTTTAAATGAAGTGAAACTATTTTTGTCATTCATATTGTTCTTTATCTTGTATGTATATTTTTTCGTTTAAAAATTGTTTTTAAATGAAATTAAATTAAATCATTCTAAATTAATTAACAAATTAAATAACTAAGGTCATTGTGAACGAGGTGACAGTGCACTACAAAGTTTCAAAATTCGGTCAACACAAATCGCATGATCTGATTGTCAAAAATATCATTGTACGTTTTTCATTATTTGAACGAACAACGCGAATCTAAAATTAATTTTGTTAACTGCGATTGCTTTACATTGGAAAAAATTATGACAAAAGTTATAAAATTATTAGAACGAAAGATTGTAATTTGAGTATGTTAAATTACGTCTAAAAGCCTGGAAAAAATCTTACATTTGAGAGTAAAGTAAAGGCAAAAATAGTAATTGCCACTGGAGTGCAGTTACATGGGGAAAAAATTAGTAGAACGTTTTTAAATATCCAAACATCAGAAGATTGGAACTAAGTTAGACAGTTTCATGTTGCTTACATTGCAAGCAGGGTTCGAGCAAACGAACCTGTTCCGTTTGAGTGGAAGTTCAGATAAAATCAACTAAATTAGGATAGTGTAGGAAATATTTAAACAGTTTATCTTCTTTCAAACAACGTCGTTGAAAAAGATGTCTTATGGTGTGGTGATAAAATCAGAGGACTAATAGTATTCTGCGCGAGTTCATGCAACTGTTTTATTTTAACTCTGGCTGGTGGTGAATTTTTTCCTAGCCATGGTTGCTCCTTGAAACGTTTGGTGATGATGAATGATTTCGCAATTAATAATAATGATTTAATATAATAAATAATATATGTGAAATATTTATTTAATTATATTTACTTCCATTTAGAACATTACGTTATCTGAAATTTTGAGGAACACAAACAAAACAATCGAATCATTGCAACGATGCAGTGCTTATGTTAAGAAGATCTTTCTCGAATCGCTCTCCAAGTCTAGGTTGGGTGATTTTCATTTTAAACGTAACCATTTTAATGAATGTCTTTTTACATGGCAAGTGAAAATATTGTTAGAAAAGGCATTGTTTTCTTGCTTTGATAACTGTAAATTATATCTAACTTTGCGTGAAAGTAGTGGTCCATTTCAACACCAACAATTCCTGGTGTACCTGACCGGAGAGGAACATGACGTCAGCGACGAGGAAATATTCCACTTTCATTTTCAAGATTTTAACCCGAAGTTTGTGAATAAATTATTTCATGTCAAACTACTTTCATAAATTTATTTAGTAATATTGCAAAATATCATTTTTTCAAGAGTATTAGATTACACTTGTTTGATTGGTTGTGATCAGTGGCTGGCCCCGTCCACTGAACAATGGAAAGTCTTGCAAAACGCTCAACTTGATTATTGGAGTGTAAGACATTTCCATCTATCAAAATTTTGTAGTTACAAAATTAAAAATAAACAATTAAGTGTTGATTAAATACTATTTTTAACAAAATTGACAAAAATTACGTCAGAATTTCGAAGTTTTTACGAAGAACCAGCAAGTCACTCAGAAGTGTGTGGGAATCTCCGCGTTGCAAGTCTCTCCCAACATGAGATTCTCTGCTTTCTCCAATCTCAGAGGTTCAACGAAAGCAATTCAAACAAAATTTTTTTTAATTTAAAATTTTTCTGATTTTTAAAATTGTTACTTTTTTCCTTTTTATTGATTGTAAAATTAGAAGTTTGAATTTATTTTCAATAAATAATCAATCCGTAAGCACTTGAAAAAAGTTTTCTGAAAAGTTTTTCAACGTTAATACTTCACTACATATTTTCAAACCATTCACATCCGCCAGGCCACGTATGTGTAATCGATTTTAATTGGATCCCGCCTCGACTAATCAGAGTACATTTCAGTGAGTCACATGACCCAGTCATCAGCCTATCGTGGACAAGGGATTCGAAGTATTTGATGAGCATGACCAAAATGGTCAGCGTTTGTTTGTTTGTTGGACGCAAAAAATGATGTCGAATGAATGACGGTACGACTGACTGGACTTCATCTTGTTTTTTTACTCTTATTTCAGCATCACTGTCACCATCAATATTGATATTATTGCGATTTGAAAAGTTTATTTTCATGAACAAAACATTATAATGTTTTTAATTTAACGAAATATTGCACAAATGTTTCTCTATTTTGTAGGTTATACATGCGTTGTACATTGCATTGTACGTGAGTTGTGATATTAAAATTTTCAGGGTGTTCTGAACGTGTGGTCTCTGGTGGGCGGAGTCAGTTTGACCAATCAAAAAACAGGAGGGGGTGGAAGTGTTAAAGACGACCTTGTCATCGTGAAGGGCGAAGATGGGTACATCCCTGAAATGTTAGTGCGACTAATCACCATGGAAGCAGCTTCTGGGGATTTCATGTTGCAGACTAGTAGATAGATTTTTTGTGGTTTATATTATCAGTGTTTATTCTTGATTTTCTACGTATTTATTCGTTCTTTCGTTCGTTCGTTCATTCACTCACTGATTCATTCTTTTTTCACACAATCATTCATTCTTTCGTTCATTCTCATTACAACATTATAGATCACATCACGGAAGAATCGAATGAAGGAATGAATAATGTACCAACGAGTGTCGTATTTTTGAATGACAAAAGTGATCATCATCATCACCACCACCACCACTATCATCATCGCGGTGTCCAGGTGATAATGTGATGATGTGATGATGCGAATATATTGAGTGATAATTTGCTATTTTTGTAATTTATTTTATAAATTCAAAGGTCGATAGTTGCTTTAAAATTGTTTTGCTGTGCATACTTGAATCTTCAAACATTCTTTGTTAACATTTTGTTCATCGTCATCATCATCGTCGTCTACAGCATCACTACTACCATAACTTTACTCACTATTGCTATCATCATCATCATCATTATTGTCGTTACGTCATCACATGGCAGCCAGTCATCATCATCATCTTCAACACCATCATCATCGTCATCATCATCACATGACAGCCAGTCATAGCAATGGCTTTTGATGCGGGGAACTTCCTCGTATGCAATTTAGCGTCATTTTCGTCATTGCTACCATCATCTTCATCATCGTTGTCACCTACTACTCACAAAAACAATGATGAGAATGATGAAGATGAAGAAGAAGATGATGAAGAGGAGGAGGAGGAGGAGACTAATGAAGGAGGCAACGATACTGAAGATGGCAACGATGACAATGACACAGAAAATGATGAAAGTGATGGTGAAGAGGATGACAACGAAGAAGAGGAAGATGATGATAAAAGTGACGATAGTCACGATGATGATGATAGTTTTTTTAAGAGCATAGCCTCGCAGCGTACAATTTTCATTAAAGTATGTGACGTATTTATTTTTCATTTCACATCATTACCGTCTGTTTATTTGAATAACTACATTGCAAAACATGCCCACCTTTCCATCTTTCACATTTGTTTTCCTCTCACAAGCAGTCTGTGCAGTTGTTATAGTGCGTTAACCAGGTTCGAATGCTGGTCAAAACTCAGTTTCGTAAAACTGAACTGTAACGCGCGGTGCTTTTTAATACAAGTGTATATGGTGGTTGTGAGTTTGCCACTTGGCCGCTTTTTGAAACCCAAAATCTAAGGCAACTAAACCAGAAATGTAAGCGATTCTGAGTCGAAAAAAATATTGAAAAATATGAATATGCATGTTTGTTCACCAATCACTTTGTTCATCCATTTGTTCATTCACTGAAGTTTAAACATTTCCATGCAAGAGCCAGAGAAAGTTACTCACCAGTGGTGATAAAATCGGCAACAGTGTTGAGGTGGATGCGTTTCTTCACCGTCAACATCATCATCATCATCTTCGTCGTCTCGCTTCTGCTACTCACCAGCAACCCCAGCGTCAACTACCGCAGCAGCAACATCGTCAACAACAACAAAATCTTCAACCAGTCAACAAACCACAAAAACAAGATGGAGTCATGTTGCTGCTGGCTCACGTAAACAGCCGTCAGAGCGATTTTGTTACTATTAATTCGAATGGACTTATTTGTCTATGGAAACATGATAGGTTGGTGATGATAATGATGATGATGATGATGACGTTTGTGATGATGTTGATGGTGAGTACCGATGATGATGATGATGATGATGATGACGCGATGATGATGACGATGATGATGGTTAGTAGGATGACATTTGTGATGATGATTTTGAAAAGGATCGATCGTGACATAAAACTGAATGGCATACACTGGTATTTTCGGCGATATAACTGTCTTCTGATGTTAAATAACTCAATAGTAGTGAGGATAATAATAATAATAATAAATAATAATAATAATGATGATGCTGATGATGATGATGATGGTAATTGTAACAATAATTGATACTGGCCAAAGATGATGATGGCCAAATGATATGTAATGATAAGGTGGTGTGTTGACGACGACAACGATGACAATGGTGATATAGCTGGTGAAGTGAATGACGTTAACGATAACACTTGTACGATACGATACGATACAATTTTACGATACGATACGGTCTTTTATTTACTCCAAAAAAATGAATTCATGAGAGCTCATCCAGCACATTTATTTATGACGATGATGAGAATGGTGGAAATTATTTTTCCAAAAGACAATTCTTGAAGAAAGGGGAATCAGAGAGTGACAGTCACATCGAGCCGAGTAGGTGCTTGAAACTTAAAATGAAAAAATCCATCTACTCGCCATCATTATCGTCGTCGTCATCACCATCATCATCGTCGTCGTCGTCAACATCAACTTCATCATCTGATGACATACACGTTAGTAAAGTCAGGCGATGATGAAAATGATAATGGTTATATATGTGATGATGATAATGGTGATATTAATGAAGATTATGATGATGATGATGATGATAATGATGATGATGACGACGATGATGATGATGGTGAGGATGACGATGACAACGATGATGATAATGGGGAGGATGACGATGATGGTAACTTGTGGTAGATATTGATAATAGTCGTATTAATCCAATTTTTTTTTGGCGCAACCATTTTTCGTCACCATGTTCTCCAGATCATGTTCGTACAGGGCATGGATGATAGCCGCAATGAAATGAATTTGCAGACAGGTGTTCTTATTTGTTATAGTTTAAGAAATATATCTCACTCATATTTTTTTTTATAACTTTTCATCCATTTGTTTTTATATTAATTTTCACGTCACTCATTCATTCATTCATTCGTTTATTCATTCGTTCATCCGTTCATTCATTCATTCATTCATTCATTAGTTCATTCATTCGTTCGTTCGTTTGTTCGTTCGTTTGTTCGTTTGTTCGTTCGTTTGTTCGTTTGTTCGTTCGTTCGTTAGTTCGTTCGTTCGTTCGTTCGTTCGTTGTTCGTTCGTTCGTTCATTCATTCATTCATTCATTCATTCATTCATTCATTTTTATTCACTCATTCATTCATTCATTTACTTTCTATTCATTCACTCAATCATTATTTATCTGATCTGATTTAACTATCATAAATATTTTTTTATTAAATATATATATATATTTTATTTATATTATTTTATTTGTTAAGAATAATTAACTTCGTGAAAATTTCTTCCCTGGTTGATTGTAGCGGAGAAACACATAGAGAAGCACATGAAGAATGGCTGGTTACTGTACTCCAGTAACATTCTTCAAGGAGGCCAGTATGTTGTTAGTAATGTTGCTGTTGTTGTTGCTGTTGGTTCTTTATTGTTGTTGTTGCTGTTTTTTTGTTGATGTTGCTGTTGTTGCTGTTGTTGTTGTTGTTGTCCTAATAAAAACATATCAGGTGTTTAGTAGCAATAACAGGTTCTCAGATTTGTAGCTTTAAGACAATTTAAAAAAGGTTCACGTTGCACTAATGGCTGTCATGTCGTAAATAGTTTCCCACCCATTCACTGACGCAGACCTCAGTGTACAAGCCTATGGAGGATATAAGCAGCAGTGCCATCATCAATAATGGCACCAGCAACCAGAACAGCAACAACATGCCACTCAACATCAACAGCAGTAACACCCTGCTTCTCAACAAAAACAATCGCTACCAGCACTTTAGTAACATTTCGGCGTTGTCGCCACCTTACAGTAGCCACAACGGCCACGACAACAGCCACTTCAACAACAGTATCGATGATAACATTAGCAGATTCTACACGGTGACAAGACACACAAAAGATAAAACTCTGCTATCATACTCTTCTCAATCTTACAGAAAGCGCACTGCTGAATGTGTTAAATTCTACGTCTCCAAAGTTGCAAAAACTTCAGTAAAAAATTCGGAAATGGATTCAAAAACCAGGTCTCAGAGGTCAAAGGTCAACGAAGATGGAAATAATAGCAAGAGTGGAAACAAATATAACGATAAAGTGATGGGTGATGGTTGGGAAGATGGCGAGCAGAATTTTGTGGCAGTCATCTTGCTCTATCCGCCGTTCGCAAGTGGTGCTGCTGGTGGTGGTGGTCATCACGAAGGAGGTCATTCGTTCATCTATATGAAATTTTTAATTACGATTTTGAAGGCTACTTTAATAAATTTTTCGCATTAACTTTATAAAAAATAAATATTTAACGATATGAAAATAGTTATTTATCTATATGAAAATAATTATTTAACTATATAAAAATTACTATTTTTAATTTTTATTACGCGTTATTAATAAATCATTGTGAGTACAAAAAAAACCAGTCAACCATTTACTCATCCAACCGACCGACTGACCGACCGATCAACTAACCAACCCATTTTTCAACCAACCTTTCAACCAACCAACCTTTCAGCCAACCAACTAACCGACTGACCAACCAACCAAGCGACTGACCAACCAACCAAGCGACTGACCAACCAACCAAGCGACTGACCAACCAACCGACTGACCAACCAACCAACCGACTGACCAACCAACCGACTGACCAACCAACCAACCGACTGACCAACCAACCGACTGACCAACCAACCAACCGAACGACCAACCAACCGACTGACCAACCAACCAACCGACTGACCAACCAACCAAGCGACTGACCAACCAACCAACCGACTGACCAACCAACCGACTGACCAACCAACCAACCGACTGACCAACCAACCGACTGACCAACCAACCAACCGACTGACCAACCAACCGACTGACCAACCAACCAACCGAACGACCAACCAACCGACTGACCAACCAACCAACCGACTGACCAACCAACCAACCGAACGACCGATCGACTAACCAATCACACAGCCTCAGTAGACCTGGTCCTCATCAATCTCAACACGACTTCCCTACTGAAGTTTAGGAAGGAAGTTATCCTCACCAGCGCCCAATATCAACTCTGCTCTCATGATGACGTCATTTGCTGTGACGTGCGTACATTTTTTGATCATTACATTACTAAATGTATGTAATCTGAAAAAAAAATGTTTCAAGCTATTCCAAATTAGTTTCGCTTAATCTGTCGGTATGTGTCATTTAAAAATTGAATAGAATATCTCGATAAATATATATGACTCTAATGCGGTGTAACTGTGGAGCGTCTGGGTCTGTATTGTAGTGACCAGATTCAAATGCAAAAGGAAACCTCAGTTTACCATATACATGTGTCTGTCTGTGTTAGTTGACACTCCTGAGTTATGTAAAAGGATTGCAATTTTTGTAATTGGCAATTAACATTCAATTTCAATTCAAGAATTTTTATCACGATTTAGTAACTATATCATAAGATACATTTTAATGATACACTCTCTAGATACTTCTATCGGCTAGTAAAATAAACTCCTCCTACATTGTGATGTCATTAATTGGCGAGCTGTCAATCATATCAATTGAGACTGGACAGACTGTATTCAAGCTCTCCGATAGGACACCTAGACTGGAAGGTCACAAATATAATTTACAAATATTCAAAGATATATCTATATATGTATGTATCTACATATATATCTACATATGTATATATATATGTATATATTTCTCATTTTTTTGTATGGTGCAATTTTTGTGAAGTAGGTACTTATCAATGGATGTTTCAAACATGTACGTACGTCCTGAGATCTCACGCTACGTACAATTAAGAAGGATAGCCTAGCTAATTCTTGGACAGCGGACAACATTCGCCAAATGCTATCATGAATATGTGATAATATTCATTATATTATCATTATTATTTATGTCATTATCGTCACAACAATCACATGTACAACAACCAATCACACGTACAACAACCAATCACACGTACAACAACCAATCACACGTACAACAACCAATCATACGTACAACCAATCACACGTACAACAACCAATCATACGTACAACAACCAATCATACGTACAACAACCAATCATACGTACAACAACCAATCATACGTACAACAACCAATCACACGTACAACAACCAATCACACGTACAACAACCAATCACACGTACAACAACCAATAGGACTCGAAGTTGTTCAACACTACCCAATGAACGTACTAGTAGCATCATCTCAATGGAAAGATTATACATTCATCTCGTTGTATTCGCCTTCTTTGCTCTCTGTATGTTGTTGTTGTTGGTGTTGTTGTCATCGTAGTTGTTATCTCTGTTGTTGTTTATCTGTTTGAAGTCATTTTTGCTGATGGCGACATGTTTCAATGATGTTAAATGAAGTGTCAGTGTTAATGTTATTTGAGAACTATGTGTGTTTGTAGTTATGTAGTTTTAATCAATGCAAATTTCAGCGGTTGTTTCCACATACCAATACCAGTCAAAATTTTAGAGTCTTTTTTGTGAAAATCGACGGTCGTTTGTGTCTTTAAAAGGATATTATACCAGAAAAAAAATCTATTTATTGTATGTTAAATATTTATGACCTGATTGAACCAGTGTTGATTGAACTGTTAACAAATGGATAATGTCTGGTTTAGGAACTTTCGAAGTTTCAGAACCCTCTCGTCATCGTCATAACAAGAGACGCTAACAACGACAAGAATGTCAAACGCTTAAAACTTCTGTATAACTCCGTGTTAGACATTTCCATTTTCGTTCACCTATTTCATGAATTTTTGAATTCTGCAATGTATTTTTCATCTTTTCAAATGAGAATAACGAATTTAATTTTCGAACTGAATTAGGAGCGAATGAAAAAATTACAGTCGTCAGAAACTAACTAAATTGATTTCTGAAAATATTTTTTAGAATTATCTGGCTCCTCCCATAGAACTTTTAATATAAAATACCAATCTGACTGAAACAAGACGTACTTAGCATTGCAGGATTACAATTCAAATTCTTTTCTTTCATATTTTTAAAATTAATTAACTTAAATCGCTAATTAATATTTAGTTAATTGATTGATTGATTGAGTTATTGATTGATTGACTATGTTTTTGTACACAGATCGGCTAATATGGAAGATGAGTTGATAAACCTCTTAAAGTCAAGTTGACATTGGTCAGAGATACCTTATACCGGTTTATCGTTTGGAAACTAAATAAATTTTACAATAAACTGAACAATGCCAAAAAAGAAGGCAATTTCTATAAATGGAAATTTATCGCGTTATCTCCTCAAAAATGAATAAAACACCTAAAAAACAACATGATTTATATTGTTTATTACCATTACTATAATTGCTATTCATAATTATTATTATTATATAATTATAATTGTTTCCCAAGAGAGCTGACAAATTATAGAATGGATGAACGTGGAATGTTAACGGATTGGTACGAACATAACGATGTACAAGTAGGTAACAACAGTGAATAGGGACGGTATTTTAGATTTAAAAACTGAATGAAGGAAAAATAATTAATCTATCAGAAATAAAATTTTAAAAAACAGATTAATTTTTTATTGATGATTTTATATGTAATGAGTGTTATTTCGTAGTTAACCTTTAGACATTTCATGCGCCATAGAGCATGCAATTGTTAAATTAAATAATAGTAACAATAATAATAAAGCTATTATTATTTTTATTTTTTTTATTATAATTAATATTATTCATCAGTGATATTAGTAAATGAGATGACTTAATTGTTAGCCAAATTACAATTTTTAGAATTCAACTTGAAAGAAAATAGGAAAGAGAATGGTGGAAAACTCAACACAGCATTTAAATAACCATAGGCTGACGTAATAATGTTTGAGAATAAACAACAAAAAACATAGCAACAGCCATAAAAACAACAACAACAACCATAACAACAACCAAAACAACAACCATAGCAATAACCATAGCAACGATTATCATTACAACATAACCTCGTATGAAATGAATTCAAAGCTCTATAAGATTGGTGAGTAAGAACGTGTGATATAACAAAATATTTTAATAACAATAAAGAAATATTATTAATTAATGTGGGCAAATATTTGAATAATGGAAATATATCTTTGTGTGTAGTAGTAACATATTTATTTGAATATAAATTTACTTTTAAAAGTATGCATGTACGTGTGTGTGTGTATGTGTGTATGTATGTATGTATGTATTTATGTATGTATGTATGTATGTATGTATGTATGTATGTATGTATGTATGTATGTATGCATGTATGTATGCATGCATGCATGCATGCATGCATGAATGTATGTATGTATGCATATAAACGTATATACAATATCACAATAAACCAGAGCAATATACAAATAAATTTGAAAAAGAGAGCCACAACTAAAGATGAAACAAAAAAAAAAATCAGAATGATTCGTATAAGCCAGAAAGGTAGTAATAGTAGAATCTAAAATATTAAAAGCTGATTGGTCGATTGTAGATAAAAAATAGAGATATATAAATTTCCAATATAATTCAAAACATAGTAAAACGAATGAAATTCTTTTTTTATGAAATAAGCTAATGCATACAATACACATACACGCCACACACGCCATGCACACGCACACACACACATATATATATATATATATATTTAAAATGACATAGTCATGCATTTTGGTATAAATTTGTTACATATAAAATAACATTACAGAAGAATAAGTAAACAAAATTTTAACATTTTATAAGAATATTAACTAATTATAATTAAATTAAATTAATAATAATAAAAAAACAAATTATTTTCTTTATTTTTTAAAATTAAGTTGAAATAAATTGAATAAAGAGGTTATGATTGGCATTGAAAATAAAATAAAAAAACACATAACATCTCAAAAAACTCAATAATTACTTCATAAATTAATAACTTTGAAATGCGCTTCGAAGATGCTGATGGTGATGAGGACAATGATGATGATGGTGATGAGAATGATGTATAATGATGAGAATGATGTATAATTATGGTGATGATGATAAGAATGATGTCTAAAACGATGATGATAATCATGGTAATAACAATGTTGATGATAATAACAAAAATAATAATAATAATGACGATGATGATAATAATAATAAGAATGTTGACGATGTGATAGTGACGACAACGATGATGATGACCGTACGTTACAATGGTGACAACCTAATGATAAAAACTACCAAAAAACATAACGGCTCCCAAAGAATAGATAATATATGGCCCGGCTATTTTAATTTCTGAATATATTATAAACACCTCA